AAAAAACCCCCTTGTGTAAAATTATCATTTGATCCACGTGACAAAAAATCCGGTGATTTATGGTAGGGTAGTGTAGTTGTATTGAGAAAACATTACAGTATATAGCTTTTTTGTTCATGATGTTGGGCGTGTACATAAGGTATAGGTTACGTATACACTCGTTTTCTGTTAAAATTATTCTATCCCATTCAACTACCATAGACGTTGAGTTAGAAGGGAAGAGAAAGGCTGCTGTCAGTACAAGTAAGAATATTGTGATCAATTTGTGAGCTTGTGTGGTTTCTTTCATTATTTTCACAATTTTTTCTGATATTAGTTGAACCGATATACGCGAAACGCGTGAAAACGTTTCACGTCAACACCATCATGTATCCGGATCAGGGTGATATCTACTATTATGTAGACCAGACGAAGCCAATACAGGTCCTGATTAACCATATCAAGAATGGTCAATACATCAGGATGTTTGGACCGCGTGCCTCAGGCAAATCCAGCCGGGTTATGCTAGCTAAAAAAGTCCTGGAATCTCTAGGCTACACGTGTCTTTAGTAAGTTAACTTGCTTGAGCCTGTGGGGTGTGGTTCATTATACTAATTGTGAGATTCTTCCGACTAGCATAAGTCTTGAATATGTTATCTTCAATGATATATCATCTTTCTATTCTGGTCTTGGTTATAAACTCGGCATAGCTACCATCAAGGATGGCAAGACGTTTGGTGATGCTTTTATGAAAATCAATCCTTCCACAGGCAAAAAACAATGGAATCAGCCAGTGGTTTTTTTTATGGACGAATTTGACATAATTCATGATGATAAGTTTCGCGATCTTTGCAACGAGTTTTTGCGGATAATTCGTGGGATGAAAAATGACCGCGACAAATTTATCATAAATTCGTTTGTCTCCATTGGCACTTTTGCCATTATGACACTAAACCAGCCAAATACACTGTTGTCACCCTTCAACGCGACTGAAAATCTCAGCATATCGAGCTTTACTAAGGAACAAGCCTGGAATCTTTTCAAGGAGTTTGCAAACGATCGGCAATTGGCTTTTGAGAATGGGATCATCGACGACATTTATATGCAGACTAGCGGGTATGTGCAATAAGTGAGCTTTGGTCTGTGAATTTTTGCATGTATTCATGACACATTTTACTAGGCATGCTGGTCTAATATGTCTTTGTGGTCGAGCAATTGATGTTGATGTCCGTCCTTCTGCTCATTCTGGCAATGCAGTATTTACAATCAGTTTTGCTTCTTGGCAGCGATATGTTGTCAGGTCATTGTTGGACATGATTGAGAAGTATGCAACATTCAACAGAATGATAAGAACACTGAGAGACCCAAGCAAACGTAACATAATGAACTATCTACGACGGGAGTTTTTGTCGACTCTTGACCCCATCAATGTGGTTGATATTGAGAAAGTCACGTGGTGTGAATTTCTTGCTGCGGAAGGAGTCTTGGTGCCTCTCAGGACAAACGAGAATATATACATGATGGCATCGCCACTTTTGTGCTCTCTGATCCTGCGGTTCGTTACATCTGAGATACATAAGATCCCCCTTGTGGAGCCTCAAAAGCGAGACGATGAGAGTATCAACTGGCTTGAGGCATTGAAAGAGGCTGTTCGTGCCTTTGAAAAGGACTACATCGAAGCAGCATCCGATTGTTCATACAAAACAGCACGTGTAAAAGTTAATGGGAAATTGCGTCAGCTTGTTCCTCGTGAGTCTGTATACCAACAGGAGTTAGCCAATGTCTTCATAAAGTGGCTTTCGGCACAAAACTATCAGGTCGTAAGCCAATACCATACTCGGGGGCAACTGAACGAAAACATGTATGCTGATTTGGTAATTTCAGAGCCTATGTCACAAGCAAAAAGGAGACTGGAAAACTTGCGAGAAGAGGTTCCTCAAGAGCAGGCACTGGCTGGTTTAATGCAGACATCGGGACCGCAAACATGTTCACAAGCAACTTCAGTCACTGATGATGTGGAGGTGGTTCGACAGGCAACAATCTTGGAAATTCTAGCTACATCAACCAGAAGCGATTTGAAAGAGCATTTTCATTGGACTCAAGAATATGCAAAATCACTCAAAAAAGAGTTAGTACTTCGTGATGTTTGGATAGTTCACTTTACACAAGAGGATAATGCCATAATGGAACCCCAGTGGCCATCAGAAGAGCAGCAGGCGAACCTGAACACAGTTGTCTTCTGGCACAACAGGGACTTCACAGAAGTCCACATGAGTGCTTTCTGGAAGGAGTATGAGAATGATGATATGCATGAGATAATTGATGAAGTAGTGTGCAATAATAACTATTCTGCTGACTGATAGTACTGTATTCTGTAATCCTGTGATAAAAGACTTTCTTTGTAATTGCAAATGCAATTGAGAGTGGTTGTGTTGACATTATGGTTGTAAAAAAAATAAAAGGGAATCAAGGAAAAATAATCTATTGGATTACATATGTGATGTATGTAGTATAGTATTGTTAGTTCAATGTCAAGAAAATACAACCAACTAGAAACAGTGTAATAATAAAATTAATATATAGGATTACCTGTATATGAAAAATAGTGAATACAATGGTTCGACTGAATATGAAAAAGTGATGTGTTTCTTAGAGATAAGTTGCAAATGTGGTTGTTCAAAAAAGATTCCGAGAGAAAGGTTTGCTGAATTACATGAGGCATTTCAAGCTCTTTCTAGATCCGAACAAGATATATTTTTAATGGTCCAGCTTAAAGCAATGAATGGTGGAGAACTAGCTGCCAGCCGACGTCTTAAAAAGAAAATGCGTACTAATAAACGAACGTTTTACTACTGAGATTGCAATACGCCTCTTTGTCAGAAAACGTATCTCAATATGTTAGGAATTGGCCATACTCACTTTGAAAACGTCAGAATCATCTAGCGACGAATGGTATAATACTACGCGTTCATGGTAATGTAAGAAAAGTGCCGCGATGGAAAACCAAAATAACCATTGATATAACCGTTGCCACCGCCGTAAAGAATTTTCTCGAAAACTATGCTGAAATTCATGGATTACCAAGTCCTGGTAGAAATGTCAATCGCATTACTCAATCACTGACACTATTGCCAGCCGAAACGAGTTACAAATCCGTCTATTAGAAGAAATCAATAATCTCAATAAAAAAAGAGAAGCAGACATTGAAGAACTAAAACTAAAAATCTGACATGTTACTGGTGTCAGTCTCTTGATGACAAGGGAAAAGTTAGTATGCATGCTCCAAGAGGAACATGATGATACAAAAAACTAAACAAAAAATGGATGGATGAAGGTAAACTAAGAATGGCAGTAGATCCAAATGAAGCTAGGGAATGAGCTAATAGTTGTAAAAGAATTTGATTTGATAACATTACTATTGAAGAAATGTTAGATGGATTTATTGATAGTTCTAATAAATTAGGTTCCACTTGCTCTGAACATATTTCAAACTGAAGTAAAAGGGGTTATCAACTTACTGAACAAAGGAGAGAGTTTGAAAAGAAATTAGAAGAATTAGAAAAAAGTAAAGATCAACAAATTAAAGAACTAGAAGAAAAAATAAGAGAATTGGAAGAGGCATTAGAGTTAGAGGAAAACATTTCTAAATGCCATTTAGATGCTCTTGAAGTAGCTAGACAATGGAGAGTAAGGCAAAGCAAAGAATATAGACAATCTACTTCTGTATCACTTAGATCTCTTAAATTTATTGGTTGGCATACAAATTTGAACTGCATTTTATGTAGTATTCCAGCCGCGACAATAAAAAATCTTTGTATTCGAACTTGCCTGTAATTTTGTGAACTGCCGACCCTTTTCTTGGAGCTGGATGGAGATTTCAATATTTTTTCGCTTCTTCTCGCTGTCGTCTTTAACAATTTTTATCATCGAACATATTGATAAGACATGGCATGTAATAATTTATTTTCA